CCCCCCTCCATCATTAAGGCTCCCATATTCTATAGCCTTTCATTCAGTGAAAAATGTTTATATACTACGCAGTAACCATGTATCATCCTTACCACAGCTGACCCTGCTGGTATATACTAGCTGATTCAGACGCTCACTGAAAGTGAAAAGCCTTTTTCTGTATCAAAATTTCATTTTTTAAAGGAATTAGATTGCTGAAAATTTTTCCACTTGGCTGTTAACATCTTTTTCTTATAAAGGACTATCGAAAATTAGAATATAATTCTTTTAAAAAAAAATCGTCCATGTATTAAGTTTGACAATGGTTTAAGTTTAAATTTTTGAATCATAGGCTAGGGTAAAACGAGCTTAAAAAAGATTATTCCAATCTAAAATAACATTCTCAAATAAAAAACATTTACATGTATATTAGCTGAAAAAGTGAAAAACTGATCTTAAAAACATGGACATCTTTTATAAAGTGATGCTGTGAAAGGAGGGATATATATAAACTAAGTATTTTTTCAAACTCTGTCTTTCCACTTTTGTTCGTTTACGGTTTTTTTTAAATTGGATGACACAAAATTATAGTCCTGAATTTCAAGCCACGGATGTCACACAGCAACCATTTTTTCAAAACTTGAAACAATTTACCTAGGAGCAGAAATATTCCTTCCAGTACCCCCCGAAAATCATTATATGCACACGCACAAAAAGTAAAAATGCTTTCCCTTAGCAACGCACGAAAGATGTGCTGTAGGTCAGAGGGCCCTTAAGCTTTAAGCTATTAAAGGTGGGCTTAAGGGAAAAGGAAAAAAAAAGAAAAATATGCAAAAATAATTTATCCAAAACTCCTAGATGTAGATGCACTCTAGTATTTTGCATATTTACATAATTTGTCATCAGTTACAGGGGACATTTGGTTTAATGATTAGATGGGAAAGTAGTTATATATCTTTTAGTATTCTGACTAGCTTCAACACACCTTGTCTAATTTGAGAAGCTTAAAATTATATAAATTTTTTCATCCTCAGATTAAGGGATTTAAAGTCTTCAAAGGAGTACTTTCAGATTTGAACACCACTCCTTAAAAATAATGATTTCCTCATTTTTTCAATTCTTGTACTTTTTATTTAAAAATTTTCACTAGCTTTTTATCTATTATTGGTGAGTGTATTAGACCTGTGACAGACCATGTCTGAGACATGGCATTTATGTTCAACTCCACCAGATTATCTGGGAGTTTGCTGGATTCTCTCAACAATCTGCACCAATTTGCACCAATCTTTAGGTGTCCATACAGGTCATTAAATCTCCTGGATAAAATAGACTTTTGAACTTTTCTGTGCTTTAGTTTGGAATAATATAAAGACCATTTTTTCCAAAAATTGCAAGACTTTTTGGATTCATAGTACAGTCTCTGGGACATTTTTTGCACACACATTTTACGGACAAAGATTATTTCTTCATTCATTAAAGTGAATGTGGTGATCTTTACTGCATGTAAGACTTCATGCAATGTCTTAAGCCAGACCCATGTTATAATAGTGTTTGGAAACTGGGTTGATTTGTGGGAGGGGTGGTTTGGTTGTTGTTATTTAGGTGGCGGGGAGGCGGGTGGCAAAGAGAGATTCTCCAGATTTTAAATCTCCCCTCTGAGGTTGGCATCTCTGTGAATGATAGCTTATATATTAATTTTTGTATTCGCCCATATATAATAATTCATAATTGTAAAACATGCCGCCTACATTTTTACATTTTTGGATCAAATTGAGCCCTTGAGCGGGGCCATGGAATTACAGTTTCTATATCTGTTTTCCATGTATTATCTGTGGAAAAGTACATATGTACTAAAATAAATAGTTTTTCATTACTTACTGTCGAAGGGTGATTCCAGAAAATATTGCCCCCCGGGTCCATACCATACCAAGTATGTCTTCCATCTTTCAGAATTTCCAAAATGCCTGATCCCCCTCTATACCCTTGGAATAATTCCATAATTATTGTTAACCCCCCTCCCACTCAGATTTTCCACTTTTTTCGTCAAACTCTTTAGAATTACTGGCATGGTTCGCAATTTTAATCCAATTTGGCTTATTTTACGCCAAAATAGTTCAAATGGCATCTGTACTTCAATACAGTTGGTTACAGAGGGAGTCATTATAACTCTGGGAAATTCTGGAATTAAAATTTTAACAAACGTTTTCTCTCAGATTCAACCAACATTAAGGCCCGGTTCAGAAGCCGAACTTCTCAAGAGCCCAACCTAATACATTGAATTAAGTACAAAAAATGTTCGGCATCTGAACGAATTAGGAATGTCTATTTCAATTTGGAACGGCTCACCCATTCTTCCCGCCTAGCCTGGCCGGGAATTTCCACTTTGGATCGACTTGGGAACAGCTTTGATTAAGATGCCGAACTTTTCATGAACCGAAACTAATTTATAGATTGTTATAACGTATTTTGTAAGCACTTTGAAATGAGCATTTTCCTCCTTTTAAATTAAGTTCAGCTGCAATTAAGATCGGTGTCTGAATCACTTCAGCCGCTCTAAATAATTTGGGTTGGCCTTTATTTGAATTAAGTTCACCTCATGAAAAGGTCAGCGTCTGAACCGGGCCTAACTTTACATTTGCCCCAATGTGGTACAGAACAGTAGAATATCTTGTGATAAACGTTTGTACACTTGGAAGATATTACGAGTATGTATATTTTTATTTCCGCCATCTTGAATTTGAGCCTTCGGGTTCGAAACTTGAAATGTTGTCCTTGGTCAAAAGACCATGTTTGGCATCGAATGGACAAAATAATTTAAGAGGCTGTTTTCATGAGAGAAAAAAGGATGTTTTGCAGCATGTTTTTCTGGAGCTTGATGTAAAACCCACTTGGTTTTCCTCTACAAATGAATACCATATGAAAACATCACTGATCAATGGATGCTTGTCTTCCGCGGCCATCAGCAGTGTTGTCAGTTTGTGCTTTGTTTGCAAACTGATTAAGTCAATAAAATAAGCGTTTTCAAGGAATACATGATCATCTTTCCCCTGCGGATATTCCAGATCTAAACCCCCCATGCCTTCGGAATTCCAGTCGTAAGTACCCCCCAATGCTCTTGGATTTCCAGTTCAAATTAGAACCCCCCTTGCCCTCAGAATTCCGAAAAGCCATCCGTGTGCATGTATGGTCATGGATATTTTCTGGAATCGCCCAATGCCATGTCAGTGCAAGAAGTGAGAACATACCTAATGTCCATCAATTGCACTTAAAACTTCCAGCAGTCATGTTGAGTAGAACATGTTTTGTTTATTCTCACACATATTTCCCTTAGAAAAGTCAAATTCCAGTGAACTCCCAATAGGGTCTGGGCTGCCTGTGATCCACTGTAGTTACAGAGTTCACTTGACTAATTTGTGTAGGGCCTCAGGGACTGAATTTCTGGGGTGAAAAAATGGTTGTATCTTCATTAGTCTGGGAAATGTTTGTTCAGAAAGTTGTATAATACCTTGTCAAGTACTAGGGGTATCTGATGCCTCAAAGTGCTCATAACAAAAACAATTTCTGAAGACATGAAGACATTGCCTTACAAGAATCAGACAGTTAACACACATTAAGGTTCGTTGTGGGCACTTTAACAGATGCAATTAGAAGTTACATGTCATTCAGAGCATGTAGAAGTTTATTCACCAAAAAACTACTACACTTTTATAGTATGTTGTGATGTAAAAGGCCAGGAAAATTTCATCTTATCACTAAGAATCAATTTCATTTAAAGAAGGTAAAAAACTTGGGGTGGCTGACTCCCCTTCTAAGTACGGTGTGATTTTTACATAGGATTGTGCTCCTGGTAACAATTTTTGATTGGCTTGGGGTTTATCCCATGCCCCCAGAAGGACTCACTTCCACCAATCTTGCTTGAAATTCAATGTTGTTTCAGGTGGGGGGTGGGGGGAGGTAACTGGTTTAATCAGGGTCATAATAAAGATCCCAAAACTTAATGTTAGAGTGCTCTGTTCTGTTGGAATCATTTATTGTTACTTATGTGTTTTTTGTAAAGCCCGGTTCTCTGACAATTTTAAAAAGATCATAATTATTTTGCTGAATTTTAACAAGTGATAAAGTACTGCTATCATAATTGTAAAAAAAAGAAAAGTAATATATTTGGCCAGTTTTGATTTACAAGACACTCTTGGAGTGTTTATGACTCTAATCATGGAAAACAAGAGCCAAGTCATGGAACCTTGTGGCTTTATTAAACAGTTTGTTAATTATGTTGTAAAAAAGATTTTAACAGAATTATATTTGGGTGGCTTGTTAGCCTGTATGGGAGACATTTGAGGGGAAAGCTTCAGGGAAAACGCCATTAAGGTAACTATGCTAGGACATGGCATGGGGTGTGTACCTATCGCATTCTCATGTACCTTTATTCGCCATTTCCCTTTCCCTTCAAATGCCTAACACAAAGGCTAGCTGTCAGCTGTTTTCAACACTCAGATAGATTTATGGTCAGACAAGTGAGTTAATGTCAAAGCATCTGTGGAAAATATAATGAAAACAGGATATATAAAACATGAACTTTGAGAACATCTTTTTCTCATTAACAGACTTGGATGATGTTGTATATGACCACTTGTTTTCACCTCATTTCCGTGAAAACCTACTAGAGGTAATATTGCACATTTTTGACTGATCAATGGAAAAAAATTACAGACTTTATCTCAGGCTGGTACATATATAAGTTGGTCAGAAATGAATCAGCGAGATAATTAATTTTGTCTTGCAAACATGTTTCAGGTGCACCTTTTGCTCCAAACTCATTTCCAGGGTTCTCTCCTATCTGTCCAGGAGAGAGAACCTGGGAACGAGGTTGCTTTTGCACCTGTAACTTTTTGTGTTGAATTCCCCTATTTAAGATAATATTAATAACAATGACTATTTTGCTGATTTCTTGAATCTGTTCTTATTATTTTCGTTTTAGATTAAAAAGAGTGAGGAGACTGCTTTAATTAATAGTTTGAAACATGGAGGATTATTCCAGTGCAACATTGAAAGCTTACATTAAATATATAGATGGAGTAGCAAGTTTGGATCTAAGTGGAAAAGGACTCTCCAGGGTACCTGATGCAGTCACTGAACTGGGTGAAGTGGGAAAACTTGAGCTGAGTAACAATAACCTGACTGAACTATCAACAAGTATAAATAAGCTGAAAAATCTTACGAGGCTTTGCTTGATTACAAACAAACTGGCAGAACTACCGCCTGAGATCTGTGACCTAAAGGAGCTAAAAACGTTGTTGGTGTCTGGTAACCAGTTGGTTGGTTTACCAAGTAGTATACAGAAGCTGAACAAGCTAGAATGGTTGCGCTTGGACGGAAACAACCTAAAAGAGTTACCAGCTGGGGTTGGTGACCTGATGGAGCTGACAAAGCTGGAAGTGAGTGAAAACCAGTTGGTTGGTTTGCCTACCACTTTAAAAAAGCTGAACAAGCTTAAAGAGCTGTACTTGGACGGTAATAAAGTAACAGAACTGCCTCCTGAGATTTTTTACCTGAAGGAGCTAAGAGCGCTGAATGTGGGTATGAACCAGTTGGTTGTGTTACCTAGCAATATACAGAAGCTGAGCAAGCTTACGTTGCTAAACTTAGATAAGAACAAACTTACTGAATTACCTGCTGAGGTTGGTGACCTGAAGGAGCTGTGTTCGCTGAATGTGAGTAACAACCAGTTGGTTGGTTTACCTACCAGTATACAGAAACTGAATAAGCTTGAAGTGCTGTTCTTGTGTAATAACAAGCTTACTGAATTACCTGCTGGTATTGGTGACCTGAAGGAACTGAGTTGGCTTTATGTGAGTGGTAATCCTTTGAATTTTGATGCAATAAGATTTGCCCAAAAGTTGAAGAACAAAGGGAAGTTCATTAACACTGATATTGCAGGTGAGCAGGGATATTTTCAGTTAAGTTTAAAAGTAGGCTGACTACATTTAGATGTACATGAACTGAGCTACTGTAACCGCCTCCCGGTTAGTTCAGTTCGAAGAACCCAGGACGTGATTGTTTGTACCTTGGCTAGTCCACCAACCAGGGTCTTTAAAAATCTGTTAATTCCATGATCAGACGCGAGGCTGATTTAAGATCTTGTCTCAGTTCAGATGATTGCATTATTGGGAGGTGGCATAAAGTTTTGGCCCCGTCTCTCTTCAAAGCAACACAAAGAATGTATAATCACGCGAATACAAATTGGCGTTTTAATAGGGTCGACCTGTACTAGAAGGGTCGTCACAATCTGACACTGTCTTGCGATACACAGATAACAGGAACACATAAGAAGCATTAATCATGACTCCCGTAACCGAGTTCACATGCGTTTAAAGGCCCATTGTCCTAACTTTTGAGTTAGTTGCTGGGGGAAAGTCGTCAAGGTGTAACTTAACATTGCGAACCCTACATGAGACGAAATTTGGACAGTGGTCCCTTAGTGACCAGTTGGTTATCACTGTGAGGTCATCAGGACACGCCTATTGTCACGTGACCCAAGAGCAGAGCATAATCTACCCGCTGGTCAAGCTACACACACTGTAGTCCAGCGGATCGTATTGCATATAGTTAAGCACCAGAATAAATAGCTTCATTTGAAGCTGCCATTCATTCTTCTATAAAATTTGGGTCTGTAAATCAGTGTCCCTGAGATTATTGAACAGCATGCAAAGGACAATAACGAGCTGGGCCCAACGTGACAATACACTGCTGGAAATCATTGCATTTACGGACTAAAGGAAGTCTTTTAGTTATTCAAAACCCTTCTTTAGCCGCAAAGAGCTTTATCATCTTTATGTTTCAAAAGAGCAAGCAGCATTTTGGCATGAGGTAAAACTTGTGTGTTGCCTACAGACCCCCTTTTTTCACAAAGCATGATGGACGAAAGAGCCGAAAACGAGCGGAAACGAAAATTCCAAAGTTGAGTTGAAAATATACGAGGTCGAGTTTGAAATATGACGCGGCGAGAAGCAAAATTCACCGAGTGAGTATCAAACTGCAAAGTTCGCATCTCAGTCAAATGTAGAATACTGGCTCAGGTATCAAAACCAAAACGAAAGTAGCAGTGTACAAAAATTTGTTCCGATCGAGTTGAAAATTGCATGGTTTGTCTGTGTAATCTGACAAAGCGAGTTGAAAATGTTCAGCGAACAAGGTCAAATAAAAAAGTTGAGTTCAAAAGCTAAAAGACGAGTATAGAAACGTTTTCCAATGATGTGAATTCTAAAGAAAGCGTGTATAATTCAGGGGCGTAGCCAGCCTTTCGACTGGTTGTAGGCCTGGCTGACTTTCATTTCTACATATCCTGAAAATTGTACGCATGACTAGTGCGCAGTGACCTCACCAACACTTTGAGCTCTTAAGCTTTTAGCTCACCCCAACAACGCATGATTTATTATGAGCGGTAGGTTTATCAAACCCAAAATTTGTAGGCCCGGGCCAACAGGCCTTTGGGTTGACTACGCCCCTGTAGGTGTAAAATTG